CAATCTAGGCTTCAGCATTATGCAAACCAAGAATTTCCAGATGTTCAAGCTGGGTTTAGGAAAGGAAGAGGAACCAGAGATCAAATTGCCAACATCATTGGATCATAGATGAAGCTAGGGAATTCCAGAAAAATATCTACCTCTGTCTCATCAACTACACCAAAGCCAGGCAAGAAGCAACAGTTAGAACCCTGTATGGAAAAACTGATTGGTTCAAGATCGAGAAAGGAGCACAACAGGGCTGTCTGCTGTCACTCTGTCTAACCGGTACACTGAGCCCCTCATGAGAAATGCTGGGCTGGATGAGTTACAAGCTGGAATCAAGACAGGCGGGAAAAATGTCAACAACCTAAGACATGCAGATGGTACCGCTCCAATGACAGAAAGCAAAGAGGGCCTAAAGAGCCTCTTGATGAGGATGAAGAAGGAGAGTGAAAGAGCTGGCATAAAACTAAATATTAAAAAACATATTAAATATTTAAAAGGCATTTAAATATTGAAAAAACATATTAAGATCATGGCATCTGGCTCCATTACTTCATGGCAATTAGGGGGGGAAAAGGTGGAAGTCGTGACAGATTTCTTCTTTGTGGGCTCTAAAATCACTGTGTATGGTGACTGCAGCCATGCAACCAGAAGACATTTGCTTATTGACAGGAAAGCTATGACAAACTTGGACAGTGTGTTGAAAAGCAGACATTATTCTGCTGATAAGGGTCCATATATTCAAGGCTATGGTCTTCCCAGTGATCATGTACAGTTGTAAGAGCTGGACCATAAAGAAGGCGGAGTGCTGAAGAATTGATGCTTTCGAACTGTGGTGCTGGAGAAGACTCCTGATAGTCCCTTGGAGAGCAAGGAGATCCAACCAGTCACTCTTAAGGGAAGTCAACCCTGAATACTCATTGGAAGGACTGAAGCTGAAACTTGCTGAAGCTGAAACTCCAGTATTTTGGTCATCTGATGCATATATCTGACTCATTAGAAAAGTTCCTGATGCTGGGAAAGATTGAGGGCAGAAGGAGAAGGGGGCATCAGAAGATGAGATGGCTTGATGGCATTATGGATGCAATGCAGGTGAACTTGGGGTAAACTCTGGGAGATGGTGGGGGACAGAGAGGCCTGGTGTGCTGCAGTCCATGGGGTTGCAAAGAGCTGGACAAGACTAGATGACTAAACAACAACCCAGGAGTTTTTTGTTGCTCATTTTTATTTATTTAAAGTCCCTCAAAAGACAGTAATCTTGGCCCTAAAGTATTACAAGACTTACATGAATATCAATTACCAACTTAGGCAAAGATAAGGCTCTTTACATCTTTTGAACTATAGTGTTGGAGAGTCCCTTGGACTGTAAGGAGATTGGACCAGTCCATCCTAAAGGAAATAAGTCCTGAATGTTCATCAGAAGGACTGATACTGAAGCTGAAACTCCAATACTTTGACCACCTGAAGTGAAGAACTGACGCATTGGAAAAGACCCTGATGCTGGGAAAGACTGAAGGCAGGAGGAGAAGGGGACGACAGAGGATGAGATGGTTGGATGGCATCACTGACACAATGGACACGAGTTTGAATAGGCTCTGGGAGTTGGCGATGGACAGGGAGGCCTGGCGTGCTGAAGTCCATGGGGTCACAAAGAGTCGCACACGCCTGAGTGACTGAACTGAACTGAACTGAAGTCTCTTCACATCAGTTATAAGTCAAGCAGAGGAAAGTCGTGATTGAAATCCCATCTTTTAATGCTCACACCTTCACATGTGTAATTTCACAACCGCGAGCTGGAATTTATTTTCTATGATTATTTTAAGTTTCAAAAGTGTTTTTTTCTGTATTGTTTCAGTAAATATACGGTTACATACTCTAAAGACTCATTCACGTGATGCAGCAGAAAGCTGCTGCCACTGCTGCTAAGTCGCTTCAGTCGTGTCCGACTCTGTGCGACCCCATAGACGCAGCCCACCAGGCCCCCCCGTCCCTGGGAATCTCAGGCAGGAACACTGGAGTGGGCTGCCATGTCCTTCTCCAATGCATGAAAGTAAAAAGGGAAAGTGAAGTCGCTCAGTCGTGTCCAACTCTTAGCGACCCCATGGATTGTGGCCTACCAGGCTCCTCCGTCCACGGGATTTTCCAGGGGAGAGTACTGGAGTGGGTCACCAGTGCCTTTTCCGGAAAGCTCTACTAGGACCACTCATAAAGGAAAGAACATCAGTTCCACATTTACTAGCTGCCTATTCCTGGCAAACAATTTTACCCCTGTGAATTTGATTTCTTCACTTTGTAGATCTTAAGTCTGTTATAGGAATTCAACACGTAAGGAAGGTGCTCCATAAATGACACCTATTGTGATTATTACTATGCTTCCTCCCATGAGTTACTAGGGCACTTGATTTTCAAGTTCCTGGAAAATAAGAACTGTTTCACGTGTCTTTCTATCCCCAGTCTCATGCTTGGTAATTCATTTTTAAAATTCAGAAATATCAATCAGACAGAACCTTAAGATCTATTTTATAATTTTTCCACTGAGTTTTCTTATATGTGGCTTAATATGAGAACTAAAAATTATTTAGTTTTTGTTTAAGACATTTATATTGAATAGAATCATAACTGATGATATCTTTTCCTCCTTCATTTTATATTGTAAGACAGAGGGCTAGAATTGGGAATATCTTCCTCAGTCAGACAAAATAGCAGAATTCAAGAGTTAAAAAGAAAAGTTAAAAGCTAAATGATACCATTTCCAAAACATTTACTAAAGGTATAGCGCTGGAGGAAGTCATCCTTTTTGTTCAGTGCCTTAAATATCAGGGAAAGCACTAGAAAGGCAGAGAAGTCACAAGGGGGTGGGCGTGGGGACCTCGAGAGGCAGGAGGTTCAAACGCTCCCTTGCCTTGGAGACAGGGGAGGCAGAGTGTGTGAGGGGTGCCTCTGCGTCTCTCGGGGCAGGGTGTGTAGACTTCATCTTCTCTCAGTTCCTAGTTCTCCCAGCCTTGAATTCAGGGGGAACTGGTGAGGGGTGCTTTCGCACATTGTGACCAGTTTAAATGATGTGAACACTGAAACCATGATGCAAATAGGGGAAAGCTGAAAGGGGTTAGATTTAATTGATAATTAGACTCCACTGAGGAAGAACTCTGCAACAGAAAGTCATTACAATCAGGAAACACATAGCTCCTGAAACAGGGCAGACACTCAAGAATCTGAATTTGTAATCATTCAAGTAGCAACTAGACTGAGATTTACCTGCAGTCAACGATGGAGAGAAAAAAGAGCTTTATGCTTAAAATTACTAGAGAAGCAATGTAGCAGGGTTTTAACATATTTATATGATTGATTTCAATGTTTATATAATATGTATCATAACAACTGATTACACTAAAATATTACTGAAAATGATCCTACTAGTTAAGACAGGGTAAGACCTTAAACTAAACTTTTAAAATACCTTTGAAGTAATATTTTGAAATATATTAAACAAAAGGAACTAAATACTTAATCAAACGTTTAGAGTTGGGAAGTTTTTCAGAGGTAAATTAATCCAGTCTGCCCAGGAAGAGATTCCATTGTAACTGGCTCTTGCTGTTTAACCACAAGAGCAGGAAATGGCAACCCACTCAGTACTCTTGCCTGGGAAATGCCATGGACAGAGGAGCCTGCTGTGCGTGGGTCGCAGACTGGATGCGTCTGACAGACTGAGCAACCAAGCCCATTCAGCCACAAGAATACACGGCACTTTCCCCGCATAACATGTAAGTAGTCTGACATTTGGGTCTCTCGTATTCCTACTTTTTCCCTCCAAAGGACGTCGCTGTGTAGCTAGTATGGTAGATGCGGCACAGCATCAGAGCACCTGGTGGCAAGATGACTGACAATGAAATGGTTCTGTGATCCTGAGCAAAACACTGCACGCCACTCTCAGCAGTGAGTGAGAAAAAGCCTAACTCAACTTCCCTGGGGGCGACGGGAGGATTATAGGAAACACTGTGTATGTGGCTTTTCAGAAAAACACACAAATACAAGGCTGACTGAAATGCATGATAAGAAAGTTCAGGCTTCCCATGTGACCACTTCCTCAGAAACAAGGTTTATGGTTTCTTAGGTTTTCTTCCTAAAGTTGTCCAATATTACGGGTGTGCTTTCACTCAAAAAGGCCTGCAGGAAAGCACCGTGGTGCATCTTGTCCCCTCCTTCACTTAGTCATACATCCTAGGGTTCTGTCCTCATTGGTACACATATACCTTTTTCTTAAAATCAGTTTTTCTGTCCTTTCATGGAAGACTGATTTTCCATGAAAGACTGTCCTTTCCATGAAAGGCTAGGTTATCATTCTTGATGCAGCCTCCATTCACCGATATTTTATGTCCCTTAGAGTCTTTCATTTTCTTTTATAGACTGTGATGTCACAAATATCTCTGTACATATGCCTAGACACTTGGGAACACTGACTTTTAAAAATCACAGAAGACCTATGACACATTCTCTCTTTCACAGAATTTCTGTGTAAGTCTGGCATATTTTGAACTCTAGGCAAAAAATACATCTCTTCTTGAATGTGCACTTTAAGATGATCATTTCTATTAGAACACAGTCATGAAATATGGACCTGATAACGGGTTGTACTTTCCTACACAAAAATGAATAAATAATTTAAAACAGAAACACCACTCAGTCTTCACTGTTTTTAAAAGCAACGAAAGCAACATTTGCAGGGTCTGTATAGCTCAGGAGGCATTTCACAAATGTCTTTAATGTCTCTCATTTAATATCATACTTAATGGCATCACAAATGCATAGACTCTTAGAACTAGAAGGAATCTTAACATTCTTGTTAATCACCTTTTCCAAATCGTGTTTACATTCTAAAACTCTCTCAGTGTATCAAGGAAGATCCTAAGTTGGAGCAAAGGGAAAACCCATCTTACAGCTAAGCATACCAAACAAGAAGTCATGCCCAAAGCAACAAGGCAGAATAGCTGGTCAAACGGCCTGAGTTTGGGACAAACCTGTAGGCGCTGCTGTTCTCGTAATCCAGGATCACATTTGCTGTTAGCACACCACTCAGCGGATCCATGTGGAACACTTTTCCTTCGTTGCCAGAGAGAATGGAATACTCCACGAGGCCATTCAACCCACTGTCCAAGTCTGTGGCAAAAACCTGTGAGGAACGGTAATGTTACCAATTAGGTAAGCATTGAAAGTGCAGAACGGGTTAAGCCTATTTTTCAGAGCAATGCATTATGAAAGAATCACATTGTCAAACACATTTTAAAGACAATGATCAAAGGAATATTAGCCATGGCTGAATTTTATATAAAAGTGAATGATTAAAAAGAATTCATTTGAATCAGTTCTAATGAGATGGATGAAACTGGAGCCCATTATACAGAGCGAAATAAGCCAGAAAGATAAAGACCATTACAGTATACTAACACATATATATGTGGAATTTAGAAAGATGGTAATGATAACCCTGAAAAAAAAAAAGTGAATGATGGGTGAGAAGACTATTCTATAGACTAGATGCAAGAGTTTCCAAGTAATTTCAGTAGGAGTACCACAAGTTTTGAGTGAAATGAAACAAAACCCAGATTTAGTGCTAGCAAATTTAGATCCTAGTGATTTATTTGATGAGTTGTCTAAGTACTAGTGTTGAAGATAAAAAAGTACTAATGGTGAGGTGTGCATCACTATCCACAGAGATGTATTATTTAGTCTAATTTACATTTTAATTGCAAACTAGTTCTATTAGTGGATTCAAGACCTTGCATAAGAATAAGTTGACATATTAATTTCTTTCTGTATATTTTTATTTCCTAGGCCCCTCAGCCTTGCTCTGAGCTCCCATCTCCTGTCCTCTCTCTCCTGGGCGACTACACTGATGTCCTAGTGGGTTTTGCTTGTAACTCCCTTCCCTTTCAATCTACGCTTCACATTGCCACCAGAGTTCTCAGGTGATCCAGGACCTCATCAGGAAGACACAACACTAGACATGTGGTACAGAAAGCAGCATCAGACAGTCCCCCTCAGGATCATGAGGACGAAACTTACCTGCATCCAGGGAGAATAAGTCCATCATGTCCCCTAGGTCATACATTTGTAAGAGTTACAGAGAGGAGGCCTTCAAGGAGACATATCATTTAGGGTCTTCAGATGCCATTAACACAAATGCACTGTGGCCAACTTCAGGAAAGAAACACAGCAAGGAGGCAGTGCCCAGGTGAAGCACAGAAACATGGATATCTCTAGGGCACGGCTTCTCTGAGCTGTTGCCATCAAGATGAACCAGCTCTTGCTTGTCTTCATCTTGGGTTCTACCAGCCAAGGTTCAAATTCCAGAGACAGAAAGTCTATGAGGCAGCCACAGTTGACAGCACTCTGTGACTGGGTGGGGTGGGGGTCACCACCTTGACTGACGATCCTACCAAGACTGCTTCTGGCAGAGGAGGGGAAGTTCCTAAAGGCAGTTTGTGGGGCTGCAACCAAGAGGAGGGCAGTGGGCAGTGTGGGGGCAAAAAGCAAGAGCTCCAGAACCTTCTACATTCCTGTTCATCTGAACAGGACACAGGAAAACAACAGTTTTATTAATAGCGTCCCTGAAATTAAATGATCTAAAAAACACAAAGAACAAAGTTCCTTGTATCTGTCCCTGGCTGAGCCTTCTCAAAGTTTACATTACTGAAGCACTGGCAGGTTGGGCTATTTCCCTACTGGGGGTACTGGAGCTTTAAAGCTGCCCTCACCTTAACATGAGTGGTCCAGCTCTGTCCAGGTCAGCATGTGTGACGAAGTGCAAAGCACCAGTGCCCTGGGGAGAGGGTCTGCTGTGACCAAGCCGGCCCTGCAGTGACACCGGGGGCATTGGCCATCCCGGCTGAACAGGCACCACTGGGGGTAGAGACCAGGAGAGAGGATGCTCTTACTCCTTACCTTCCTCTTAAGCATCTCAGTCCTGGCTGAAGCCAGAGTAAAGGCTCAACAATTATGCAACATGCTGGAACCCGGAGCGATTAGGCTAAATCTGCAAAAATAATGCAGGAAATCCTGGGGGTCCTGGACCAACCGAGAGCACAAACCTAAAACTCCAAGACAGCTGAGCCTCTGCTGGTCTTGCCTGCACCTTCAGAGGGGAAGGTGGCATCTGGACTAGGCAGGGATCAAAGAAAGGTCTGTGTGCACATCCAGGTGAAGGTGCTGCGTGGGAACCGAGGGGATCACCTATACCCCGGCCCCATCTACCCAGAGAGAGAGTCATGAGAAAAGGTCTGTGTGCACATCCAGGTGAAGGTGCTGCATGGGAACCGAGGGGATCACCTATACCCCGGCCCCATCTACCCAGAGAGAGTCATGAGATGCTGGGTCATGGGTTATAGAGGTGAAGGGGAATGTTCCGCTCAGCCACCAACTGTTAGCAAGGGGGTTTACACACATTCTCTGTGCAGATTCCCGAGCCTGTAGGTGTCCTGATGCCCAGGTTCTTGAACTCAAAGCATCAGTTCAGCCCTGAATGGAAAGATGAAGGTGTGCAGCAGCCCTGAAGCAGGGAGAGTCTAGCAAGGGCGGGTGGGTTTGGAGCTTGAGCAAGAAGACTGCCGCGTGAACAGACCCTCTCTTTCAGCCACAGGGCTTTCTCCCGAGACAGGGCTGGGCTTGAAAACAGTGGATGTGCCTTTCACATGGGACACCTGAAGGTCCCAAGCCCAGGGGGCCTTCCCATGCATCTGCACCTCAGTCTGTGTGCGTCTGGCTGCAGCTCCACTTGGGAAATGCCTGCTCACCCTCTAAGACCAAGTGCAAACCTCGGGACCCATCTGTGTTTCCTCTTAGCTCACACGACATTCAATAAACGCTCTTCTATTATCACATTAGAAATTTAAGTTGTGTACTTAGTCTTCTGACCTTTCCACTAAACCGTACACACTTAGAAGGTGAGCTGCTTTTTGTGCCCATCTAGAGTCCCTGCTAATCTCCAACAGGGTCCCTAGAAAGAGCAGGTGGGCGCTACAGGCATGTTATGCATGCTAGAATGCTCAGTTATATCCAACTCTTTGTGACCCTGTGCACTGTAGCTGCCTAGACTCTTCTGTCCATGGGATTCTCCAGTCAAGGATACTAGAGTAGGTTGCCATTTCCTACTCCAGGGGAACTTCCCTACCCAGGAATTGAATCTACTTCTCCTGCATCGGCAGGGGGTTCTGAGCACAAAAAGAAGGGAGTAAGGGTAGTGAACTCAGAAATTCCAGACTTCCTTCAACCTAAGGTTCCATCCAGTACATCATATAATGCATATGCCAAGAAAACAATTACAATTTAATGTCCTAGAAAAGGTATTTAGGTATTTGGATGTACACTGATTGATAAAAATTCACACACACATATAAAACACGTTTCTATTACCTGTACAATGTGATGATTGTAGAACTGGCCCTCAGACACTGATGCTTGGTAAACAGTTTGCTCAAAGTGTGGTGGATGATCGTTCAGATCTTGGATAAAGACTGCTACTTTGCTGTAGGCTCTATGCCCCCTACTTTCAGCTAAAACGATGAGTTGAACTTCTTTTCTGACTTCAAAATCAAGAAACTTGGGTTCTTTCACAGTGACTTCTCCTATTTTTATTTCCAGAGAGAAAAAAAGGAAAGAATAGAAAATGATTTTACCTTTGACTGATGCTCACATGCTCTCCTCTCCTTCAATGCCTCCCACTGGCTGCAACCCCCTTTCCTAGTGTCTGGGGTCATTGTGAAGAAAGGTGAGAACAGGCAGACATTTATACGGTTCAGACATGTAGGAGGGGAAGAAACCATGAAGCATGTGGGATCTGAGGGCTCTGTCTTAAGTCATCCTTCTGTCTCTGTATTTAGCCCACGGCCAGGTCTTTGCAGGCAGACATCTCTGAATTCACCTTGTCTCTGCTGCTGCCCTCCTCCAAGCAACCAGCATTTCCCACCTTGTCCCCTGCATTAGCCCGCTCACGGGCCTCCGCACGCATCCAGTTCCCATTCTGAATTAAATAATTAAAAAGGCACTGTGACTACCCTTAGAGCCCTTGATTGGCTTCCACAGCAATTATGGTGAAGCTCAGCATTTTAGCCTCCCCAGGACCACCTGCTCCAGACTCTCCCACCTGAGAAATCTCACTCACCTCTTTCTCCCGTTTGCTCTCTCTGCTCTGATGCTAACACTCATACATGTTCTGCTTCTGAAACACACACTTTAGAGTTTCCCTGCAGACTTTTCCATCCATCTGGGATTGTCCCCACTTCCGTGGATCCTCAGGGATCTTTCCAGCCTATACATCACCATATCTGTCTCTAACACACTCTCCCAAAGAGCCTGCAGAGCCTTTGTTCACCTGTTCCTGCCGAGTTACTCCCCCTGGTTTCTTAGAAGATTCACCAAGGTGAGCATGGTTACCTCTTACACCACTCTCTCCCCAGTGCCCAGCTCAGGATCTGCCACACAGATGCACCTAATAATATCTGTTCCACCCTCAGGCAACAAGTAGAACCAGGTGAGGGAAACTGAGCCTTGGGGGTTATTCCCTGCACAGGTTTTCCCTTGGATTAAGAAACTTCTTCCCGACATAATTTCCTTCTCAAGTTTCTACTCTGTTTCCTTTCTTCCCCTTTGCAATTAAATTTCTTACTGAATTTATTGTTATTATTATTCCACTGTCATGATTTACTCAGCTCTCGCTGTCAGAAGTTCCATCAAATGGAGTTTGCTAAAATGGGTACTGATTTGAAGCTTGAAACACCTGAAGCCAAGCACAAATCCTAGCCCTGGATGCTTTATTCAGGTAAAGTACCTGGCTTCCCCACTGCCAAGCTTGTGACTGGTCGGAAGTGACTGAAGTTCTGCTGAGCAGAGGCTCACCTTCTATAAACAGGGCTCTGAAGGCCCCGTGGGGCTGCCGTGGGAGCGGCTCGGTGCGTGCCGTGGATCTCTTCGTAGTCACATGATATGGAGCCCCGGGTCCTCCCCTGTCTCTCACCCCCCCACCATCAGATACAGATTTAATACCTACAGAAGCTCTGAATTTAGGAGAACATTCAGTTGCACGGATTATTACAAATTTGGTCTTCTGGTGAAATAATCTGTATAGTTTTTGGAAATATGGCCTAGAGTCACAGTTCTGATCCATCTGAATCAGTTTCCCTAGAGAACCAGAGTCGGCCAAAGAAACTTTAGGCTATCATGTACCTACCTGGATGCTAATAGTAATCACGCATTGGTGTGTGCTGAATCTCTACCCTTAGAGCCCTTGATTGGCTTCCACAGCAATTATGGTGAAGCTCAGCATTTTAGCCTCCCCAGGACCACCTGCTCCAGACTCTCCCACCTGAGAAATCTCACTCACCTCTTTCTCCCGTTTGCTCTCTCTGCTCTGATGCTAACACTCACACATGTTCTGCTTCTGAAACACACACTTTAGAGCTTCCCTGCAGACTTTTCCGTCCATCTGGGATTGTCCCCACTTCCGTGGATCCTCAGGGATCTTTCCAGCCTATACCATCACCATATCTGTCTCTAACACACTCTCCCAAAGAGCCTGCAGAGCCTTTGTTCACCTGTTCCTGCCGAGTTACTCCCCCTGGTTTCTTAGAAGATTCACCAAGGTGAGCATGGTTACCTCTTACACCACCCTCTCCCCAATGCCCAGCTCAGGATCTGCCACACAGATGCACCTAATATCTGTTTCACCCTTAGGCAACAAGTAGAACCAGGTGAGGGAAACTGAGCCTTGGGGTTATTCCCTGCACAGGTTTTCCCTTGGATTAAGAAACTTCCTCCCAACATAATTTCCTTCTCAAGTTTCTACTCTGTTTCCTTTCTTCCCCTTTGCAATTAAATTTCTTACTGAATTTATTGTTATTATTCCACTGTCATGATTTACTCAGCTCTCGCTGTCAGAAGTTCCATCAAATGGAGTTTGCTAAATGGGTACTGATTTGAAGCTTGAAACACCTGAAGCCAAGCACAAATCCTAGCCCTGGATGCTTTATTCAGGTAAAGTACCTGGCTTCCCCACTGCCAAGCTTGTGACTGGTCGGAAGTGACTGAAGTTCTGCTGAGCAGAGGCTCACCTTCTATAAACAGGGCTCTGAAGGCCCCGTGGGGCTGCCGTGGGAGCGGCTCGGTGCGTGCCGTGGATCTCTTCGTAGTCACATGATATGGAGCCCCGGGTCCTCCCCTGTCTCTCACCCCCCCACCATCAGATACAGATTTAATACCTACAGAAGCTCTGAATTTAGGAGAACATTCAGTTGCACGGATTATTACAAATTTGGTCTTCTGGTGAAATAATCTGTATAGTTTTTGGAAATATGGCCTAGAGTCACAGTTCTGATCCATCTGAATCAGTTTCCCTAGAGAACCAGAGTCGGCCAAAGAAACTTTAGGCTATCATGTACCTACCTGGATGCTAATAGTAATCACGCATTGGTGTGTGCTGAATCACTTCAGTCCTGTCTGACTCTTTCTGACCCCATGGACTGTAGCCCACCAGGCTTCTCTGACCATGGAATTCTCCAGGCAAGAATACTGGAGTGGTTTTCCATGTCCTCCTCCAAATAGTTATAGCCTTTTCTAAAAAGTCTAACTCTAGCACTGAGCATTGTGGGAGGTATTTTATTGCTTCTATTCTATTACTAAGAAAAAAAAATACTTATATTCTACATGAAAAACTAACTACAATACCAAATTTTAAAATTCATAAATTCACTTTTATTGTCATCAGATTCAGTTATCAATTTTAGAAAGCTAAATTACTTTTACAAACCACAGTTTGATGTTACCAAAATCCCTGATAGAAAATTCAGAGTAGATTTAATGACAGGCAGCTGAAGAATTATTAAGATGCATTTTGATGAAAGAAGACAGCTTTCAGAAGTCTCTGTGGAACAAGGGCTGAGCCCATACCTCCAAATGAGAGAGGGCCCCCAGTTGACGTGGATTCAAGGCTCTCATCTGGAGCTCTGTCTCCACCAAACAGGGCATTCAGCCTGCTGTCGTGTTCTGTTACTATTAGTAAAGGAAATAAAACTGAAACACAACACTTAATTGCCAGTGTCACTTAGTAGAAAGTGTGCCAATCACAGTGCAGATCAAAGTGGATTTTTTTTTAATTAAAGGGTTGGGTTTACGCTTGATAATTGGAATTTTGCACTTGGAATGAATCTGTAGTTCTAATGCGTTCCTTGCTTGGTTTTTATTTTTGGCATAATAATTGGCACATGCTGTGGAAATTGAGAAAATAGAAAAGACAATGACCAGTCTGTGAGGTGATTCCGGGCAGGCATACCTACCAGATACACAACTTGCCTTGGATGACTGATATACACTTTTTCTTAGAGATGTCCAGGATCTACTGTCACCAGGGAGATGAAAGTACTCCTGGGTTCTGTCTAATAGTAGGGGCAGAAGTCCATGCTTTCTTTTGAGTAAGAGGCTCACAAATATCAACTTTTTGCTCATTTACATATGAGTGTGCCAGTTATGTGTTTAATAACCTGAGAAGAAAATTGCGGCGATACTTTTCTTCTGATATATGGACATGCATAGCCTTTATCCAAGTTATAAAGTCCACATTAAAAGGAGATTAAGAGTCTTCAAATACTCAATGCTAGGTAGCATAATCGGGTTACTTCAGCCAATTACAAACTGTGTACATGCATATGTATATGCCCAAAGCTGAATGTGATTAATATTTATGTTATCCCAAAGCTTTTAAACTCTCTCCTCTAAAGCTACATCCTTGAAACATTGGAAGTTTGATCACTTTTTTTATGTCAATCTACCAAATCATAGAATGAAAACTACCATTTGTTCTTTACATGCACAATGTTAGCCAAACTGCAAAATTCCTTCTGGTTTAAACAGTGAGTGGTAGATATTTTTAAGTCACAGTGGCAACAGGTTTAGATGCAAAAGTAAACTTCAGTTTGTGACTGTGGCACAGGGCAAACTCAGGCACAATTGGACAGAAAACATAGTTCTCTCCAGAGAGCCACCTAATCATAACTTACCAAACCAGTGACTAATAAAGTGGTTTTCTCACACTGTTACCCTGCAGAAAAGTGAATATAACATGAGAGATCAAGTTTACTGATTTATCATGCATACCGGTTTTGTACTTTGGCATATGTTTTAAAATACATACATTGGTAAAACCTATATTAAATGACTTTTGATACAAGTTTAATGATTATCTGGCAAAGGTGGCATGATTACTTCCTGAGAGTGAAAAGAAGAGGCATGTAGAAATAAAAAATATAGAAAGGGATGTAAGAGACAGTAATACGGTTCCAATATTTGTCTAACTAAAGTTCCAAAGAAATATGTAAATAAATGATATTTAGATCAGAAGCTGACTTATTAATACAACAACTGAAAACCAGAAGACAGAGAGTAATGTCTTAAATAAAGAGAAAATAACTGAGCCTGAAATTCTGAGGCCAGCAAAAATATCTCTTAAAAACAAGAACTGAATAAAGACAGAGTTAGGGTCATTCTCCCCCGCCCCCTGCCCTTGTGGAGGGCTATAGAACACTTCTCCCATAATTTTTGTAGGTCTTGTGAGATAAACAAGACTGAAAAAAAAAAAAAAGAAAAAGAAAAATAAATCTTGGAAAGTTCATTGCAAACAGCTTCTCACTAAAGGATGTACTTCAAGTAGAAATAAAATTATTCTAAGTCTGAGATGTAAGAAAAAATACTTACTAATAGGAAAGAAAATAGAAAACAAGCAGATGAGTCCATTTAAAAACATTAATAATGCCTAATTTGAAAGACCTAAATTTGTGGTCAAGAAAAAACTTACAAATTGCAAAAGCAGATATTAGGAGATAAAGAATTCTAAATCTCAGGTATTGTTTAAGAGCAAGATATTAATGTTAGACTTTAATTGGGGCTTCCCTGATGGTTGAGCAGTAAAGAATCCACCTTCAATGCAGGAGACACAGGAGACTTAGGTTTGATCCCTGGGTCAGGAAGATCCTCCGGAGGAGGAAATGGTAACCCACTCCAATATTCTTGCCTGGAAAATCCTATGGACAGAGGGGTATGGCAGGTTACAGTCCAAAGAGTTGCAAAGAGTTGGACATGACTGAGAAACTGAGCATGCACACAGGTTTTAAGTATGCCTGTCAAAATAGCTAGGCTAACCAATAAAAGAAGAGAAAAACCTACATAACTTCCAACAAACATGGGGAAATTGTCATTTTCAGATGATTGTATATGTCAAATATACAGAAAAATAGCAGAATCAGTAAGAGTTTACAAGTTTTCTAGATATGAAATCAAAATATAAAAGCTAATTTCAAGTAAACAAACCTACACTGCCAGAAAAAAAGCATATTTTATTTACCTCAGCAAGAAAAAGTATAAAATATTTAGGCTAAATTTAGCAAGATATATGCTGCATAAAAATGTTATTAAAATTAGTAAAGAAAAAAATTGGTGTGAATTTTCATATCATTCTTGTATTAGAAGATAATACTGTAAAGATACACATTTCCCCCCAAACTAATACGTTGTTGCTATTTTTTTTTCTTTATGAAACATTTAGAAATTTTATTTGGTTGTAAATATTTTGTAAAGTATTATAAATAATGACATTAATACAAGACATATCAATCCTTTAGAGGTATACAGTAAAATCCAAATGCCACAGCAACTTGATACCGATTGTCACCCACTTAAAAAGGTATAGGAAGAGACTTTCTTTTTGATAGAAACTTTTTGTTATTCCTTTTTCTCTTTAAAATTATGTTTACACCTCCCTTCTCAGAATTCTGCATAATGTATTTTATTTTGCACTTGGAATATATCTT